CAGTCCGCTGAATGATTCACATCGAAATATTTTCGTAAACTATTTTGAACATCGGTCATAGCAGAATCGATAGTAACTACAAAGCTGATGAGCTAGCCAGGGGGGCACCTTTGCAACGCTCACACCGGAAGGTTAACGAGTTGGAACTCCATTGACATCTTGCGTTTTAGACTTGAAACAATGAACATCGCGGGCGCTTACAAGGCTGGTCGACCACCTGCTCCTGTGCGACTGCAAGATTCTGTTGGCCTAGAGTAGAACGCAGGACATCTACCGAACTACTTGCCATTAGCAAGGTTCATCTTGCCGCAATCCTAGAAGTTCTTAATGGAAATGGTCCAATAGGCATTTATGTGGTAAGTTGTTGGACGCAAGTTGTCAAAGTTTTATGGAGAAGGATGAGGTGGAAACATCTAGACATTGTGCAGCCTTTACAAGACTAAGGTTGATCCACTTCGACAGTTTTACTTTCGGCGACCAGGAGACATAGTCGAAACTGACAATACTCATCTCAACAAATTTGTGATAGATTCAAAGCGCTTCATCGATTTATGAGAGTCTTATGATCAATTATATAAAAGTTTTAGGTATCAAGACGGACCGGTGTTCTAAGCTGTCGAAGTGGAATTTCTGTTAGGAGCGATCTCTGTCAAAGACTTTTCATCCTGTGTAGTATAAATAGCTTTGTCCGGTAGTCCCCAACATACCCGAAAACTTTAATTTGCAACCTATACAATTTGTTTTACTGTAATTTACTTTATTTTTTCTTAGCCGCTAATATTTAAATGAAACCTTAGTTGTTAATTGTTAATAATGATTATATTTTAAATTTTTTCATTTGTTGAAGAGATTCGAGGAATAAAAATTGAAGAGAATAAATAGTTTATTGCATCTGCTCTTAAAATAGAAATACTTTTTTTGCTTTCTTGCTTTTAGGATATTCTCCTTCGAGATACAAGTACTTTAAATCAGCTTTAAGAACAGTTTTTTCATAATTTTATAAATTGCTGATGTAAATCTACCATTGATGGAGAATAGTACTAGTACGATTTCTATGCGAGTTAGCTATTTGAAACTATCTGCCATTAGCTGTCTGTGGTTTAACGAACATTGTATTATGTCGTATCGCAACAGCAATTGGTATAAACTGGCATTATCAAATAGAGGCAAAATAACAAGCGGTTATACCAGAGAACGTGAAAGAAAGCGAACGTGTTCATAAGGTATATTATTCACTATTCATTTATTTTGCATGCTTCGCATTCCAGAGCGAATTGTGTGGCAGAAATGCCACATTTATCATTGCAACGGCTAAAAGCAACTGCAAAAAATTGCAATTGCCGTCCATGTACACACACGCTTACACACAACAAATAAGTAGGGGAACATCTATCAACTCATATGCACTTTCTAATGTTTTGTTGCAACAAAGTGTTGCTGTCTCTGCGACCACTTACTTGCAGCACTCGCAGCGGTTCTAGTTCTTCCGCAAAGAATCCATCCAAGGCCGCCGTTCAGCACGTAAACAACAACTGCCTGAACAGCTAGGCGCGCCTATTATATTGGATGTTATGAAAATGTTGCATGCAACATTTAATGACTGTACAATGAACGAGAGTATACGTAGCACCAAACAATGTACGCGCAACATCAGCCCATTGCAACGCTAGTTATTGCGCGTTTGGTGGCATGCCGTGCCGCTTGCAACAATTTTGTTAGCTACAAACGTGGTGCTGGGCCGGTTTGGTGGCAATAAAAGCAGCGTTGCGATGACATCATCAGTGTGCACAGATTTTAACGGAACATTTCGTACCAGGCCAGCAGCATGTCACAAGACGTGGCACGCAACATTGGGTTGCAACAACGGTTTGTGATGTTTGTGTTGTGCCAAGGTGAACTGCTAAGCAAGCTACCTAGCCCTTAATATTCCACACACGCGAATATAAATCTCTACAAAGGGAGTTCTTGTGCATGTAGCAAGAGTTCATTAACTCACAAACCTACCTTAAGCGTATACCCAACGCTCATTTTGTTCGGTGATCTATACAGACAGACTTTAGAATTTCGATTGTAGCGATTTGATCGCTAATGAAAGTGAAATCTTGAACGTAGAAACTCGTATGCTCGATAGTCAATCTCGCATGAATTAAGTGATGAAGGGATTACCGAATTTCTATTTCGGGAAACGAACTGTTTCGACGAGTTCGGACGATAGTGAAGCGGTGTTGGAGGTGTTGGTTTGAGTTGGGTAAGCATATAGGTGATCCGGTTTTTTTAAATGTTTAAAGGCTCAAGTTTTTCTGTTTTTCAATTTATATAACTCTTTCGAAAACCACCGACTTGTACTTTTACTTTTATTAACAATTACTGAGTAGAATTTAACCAGAATGCGATTACGGGAACTCTTTCACGGGAAGCCGTAGCGTAACAGCTCTATTGTAGGGTAAATAGGGCAATCTTCCTGATAATAAATTACACATGAATTTAATTATAAACTTTATCTTAACTTTGCAATGAACTGCAGTGCGCTTGATTCCCTTTATTAGGATCGTTGGGTATATTTTTGCATTTGCTATGCGCCAACCATTGGCGGAGTCGCGTAGGAATGCGAAATAAACACGAAAAAAGGACAGAAGGAAACGACGAGCTGAAGTGCGGTAGAGAAATTGGCATCAAGAGTGAAGTAGCAACAAAACAAACAAATACACTCTGGTTGTAGTATAGCCCTTATGGCGTGTGTTTACGCCCCTCAACATTCTGCTCCTGCAGTAAATATTTCAGCGTTTAGGCCCTACAACCTACATGTCTGCCCAGCTGCCCGGTGTGCTGTTTGTTTCACTGAATCGCTTTTGATTACGTTTCCACAACCCACTGACTAAGCGCTAACTAGACGCTCCGTGCGATTTGGCTCGGCTGTCTGTAGTGAGTGAGCTTGTTTTTCGGGTTGAAAAAATTTTCAGCTAACAACATGTTGCACTAAATTAGGTACTACGTTTCGCCCTATGCCCGTCCGATTTAGATGCGTCGCCACAATTTGTGGTAAGTATCCTAGCCCTACAAAATGCCTGCGGGCTTCAATAGGGTGGAAGGTTTCAGCGATTAGAAATTCAAACAGGTTATCAGAAATGTAAAGGCCAACGATAGCATGCGCGGTTGCTGCTGCTTGCGGCGACTGTTCGACTGTTGCTTGCAGTATTTGCTGTTTACCATCGGACCGCCATTTCGCTTTGCGCTATTTTGCCTTGTCTGTCTGTTCGCTGCCTCCGCTGCTGGTAAGAGGTATGTTTTTACTTACGTGTGTGTCTGTTTGGTATGCGTTGCCCTGCAATTGGCTCGATATAAATATATGTATAATGGTTGTTTTAGCTATAAGTGCCGCATGCCACCGTCTGTGGCATTGAAAGGTTCTAGCCTTCAGTCGTAAGTAAACACGGACAAGCCCTTTATTAACACCACAAAAAATGTCTGCAAAATTAAAGCAAATTGAGTTGCAGTTGGTGCGATGTTGTGCGCATACTTGGACTGTATGGCGACTCGAGATGTTGCAACAAAAATTTGTGGCATGTAGATGCGCAGCATTCGCTCATTTATACCAGCTATTACGGTTGTAACACAAAGTACCTTTACAATATTGCAGACGCTATTAGGCGGCAAATAATTGAAAGCTCTTTGGAGTTTACTTTTGTTGCGAAATATTGAAAATGTTTGAGGCTTAAACGCATTGGATGTTTAGAACGCGCCTTGCACCTCAGTTTGTTTGCGATTGAGATTGCAAGTAGATGACAGAGGCAATGAAGTGATGTACTTAGGTGTTGACATGTCGGTGTCACAATCAATTCAAGCAACTCATCTCAAAGCATGTTTGGAATATAGATTCGCGGACTAAAGGGTGAAATACATAGGAGTAAACTGTGGTTTTGGTGAAGGTTCTCATAAACGTGCTTGTCTATACACGCAGATGCAAATATATAGCAGTCTAAAATTAGTGCAAAACTGATAATTTTTTCCACTTTTAGCTCAACTAGTTCTTCATTAGCGATTTGGATGAATATTACATAAACTATATCGCATTTTTCACTATTCAAATCCATGATTATTAAATATACCAGTCAGTCGGGATATGAATAAAAAACAAGAAACTAACGTTAACTGCGGCTGCACCGAAGTTATAATACTTTTCACAGGTGCACTTTTTATAGCATAAAAGGGTATACAAATAGCCTTATTTTGATTTTGATTGCTCAGTTTGAATGACAGTTGTAAGCTATAGCGGTCCGATCTAAACAATATGTTCGGAGATTGTAGCGATGCCTTGGATATTAATCTATGCCTAACCATATATTGTATATATACTTTAAAAGATCTTCGACGTTTCCTTCTGGGTGTTACAAAATTCGTGGCCAGATTAATACCCTGTTCAGGGTATTAGAATACTCATGTATCGATAAAGCATCTTAAACTTATCACAAATCTCCGTAGGTGTTTATTTCTTTTTACATCTCCCGGTTGTTTGAAGTTATGAGATTCAAGATGTTGTAGGCTTGATCTCGCAAAGGCGCGAGTGTGGGAAATGTTGAGACGATTATACCTCGTCTTCAACTTTTCCAAGTTATATCCAATAAAATTTTGATTCTAGTCGTTGACTAGTGTTTGCAAGCCCTCAGTAGATCAGCCATTCATTAGGGAAACTCCAGAGGACAACGACACTCCGACCTGTTCGCATTCTACTAATAGTGACTCCTATTGACTGTCTTTTCTTGTAAGCTCAACAGTTTTTTTAATTTCTTGCAGTTCTGCTGTGGCCTGGTAACCATACAAGTTTTATCACGAAGTAACTCGATAAGCTTAAGAGTATAAGTATTATGCCGAAGGAATCACAAGTAAATCATATTCGTGTGCATTCCTAGAAAGGTAATTTAATAGATAAAATGTGCACCAACATGCAACCATTAAAAAGAAAGAGTACTTTTATATTTATGAAGCAAATGAAGAAAGGCACGTTCGGTTTTCAAAACGATCAATTCGTTTTCGTAACATTTTGCTTATAAACGCTCATGAATCCATATTCAATACTCGCATAATCTTTAAGTTAAATATATTTGAAATTGGTATACAATACCCATTAAATATAGATACATTCCTGGAATGCAGATGGTGATTCACATTTACTCCTTCTTCTTCTTATTGCTTTTCTTTTCCAAAGCTGGTGGGCTTTCCGTGTTGTTCTGCGAAATAATTGTCTATAAAATGTATACATTGCGGTTGAGTGTTACAATAAAGCTGACTCTTGTTACCTGTTCGCTGCTGCGATGTAAACGTTTTGCCTTCTTCTGACGTAGTACATTCGCGATTTCTTCCTTGAAGTGAACAATTTCTTCCTCCAAATAGCTACGCTGAACACGTATCTTTTCACAATTCACACGCTTGTTAGCGATCTTGTTGGTTATGGCTTCATATTCCTTCGTATATTGAGCACCTAATTCGTCTATGCGGGTTCTATATTTCTGTTTCAAAATAAAGTCGCACATTTTACCATATGAAATTATATACGCCTAATATTATAACGAAAAATTAAAATTATTGGTGGCATTTGCAGGTAACATAAGGTAAATATTATTTATGCAAGTGGATCGAACAGAAAATTTTCTTATAGAGTATTTTAACAAATTTATGTAATTAAGGTTGTAACAACCAGAAGGAAACATCACAAGCCCTCTAAAGTATGTATATAAATGATCGGCGTGACGAGCTGAGTCGATTTAGCCGTTTCGGTCTGTGTGTCCTTCTGTATATAGTCTCTCAGTTTTTGAGATGTCGATTAGAAATTCTGCACACGTCCTTTTTTCTCTAAAAATCTGCTCATTTGTCGAAACTATCGGACCACTATAGCATATAGCTGTCATATAAACTGAACGATTGGAATCAAGTGTTATTTAATTTGACTAGGTTTCTTCACGAAAGTTTGATTTGAGATTTCCGAAGAAATTGTTCAGATCGGATCACTGTAGCATATAGCTGCATATAAATTGAACGATCGGAATCAAGTGCTTGTATAGACAAACTTTTAATTTTTGGACCACTATAGCTTATAGATGTCATACAAGCTGATCGATCAAAAGAACTTGCACGGACGGACGAACGGACGGACAGACAGTCACCCGAAACCGGAGCTAAACATAACGACGTCTTAATGGAATTTTAATACATAAAAGGAAAAAAGGGAAAAACATAGTGTTTTGTTCTCGAGTCAAAATTGCTTTTCTGGCCGCGGAACACTTCAGCGACAGCAATATGTGTTTATACCTATATGCATATATCTTCCCCTAAACATTAATATAATTGTTTATTGTTTTCCCTTAAAATCATTGCAGTTAGGTAATTTTCGGACTCTGATTTGTTTTTAATCTTTGCGAAGCAGCGTTATACATACATAACTTAATTAAGATATTTCAATTAATTTTATCTCGTTAATGGCGGTACTTACATTAGTTTCTGCATAGAGAGCGTTCACCGTGCACTGAGAGCAATACTTCTCTATACGCATTAGTTCATTATATCTATCGATCTGTTTCTTAATCTTATTCTGCTCGATTAAATTCCTATCCTCAAACTGGTCGACAAGCGAATTTTGATAGCGTATTTGATAGCGCATTTCTATGGGATCGTAAGCTAAGAATTTTGCACATATATAATTTTCAACGTAAATGGCTCATATAGTTTCCAAAACTCACCAATATTTTCAGATAAAATATGTTCCAATGCATATATTTTTTTGCTAACGGTTTTATCATCCGTTTTAGTAAACGTTTTTTCATGAAAACGAACACATAATTCTTCATTGTTTTTTAAATTATTCTTTAGGTGAATTTCCATAACTTCTGGCAACTCTATTATTGCTAACGCCGATCTATAAATGAAACTCTGATACAATAGAATTCTTGCGACTTAGTTAAGAAACTTAGAGCGAACTACACAAAAATTTGCAAACAACTTTCTGATGAGCGTATTTGGTTATCCACTTTAACTTACATCTGAAATTTGGCAAGAAAAACTAGAAATTACTGAATGTCTACTCATGCAACTGACTTTTACCAAACTCCAATCACTTCTTTTATGGTTCGCAAGTCATTCTCTACGCGTGACATATGTATCTATAAAGTAAAGGATTTTTTAACTTACTTCAACTTTTTATCAATCTTTGTATTTTGATTCTCGAAATTCTCGTGTAATAGTTTTGTAAATTCCAATAATTCTTCAATATCAGTTTCCTGCTTTCTCATTTCCATACAACTTTTCGACATACTCATAATGAACACCTCAAGCCAAGCCATATTCTCCAATTTCAGTCGAGCCTCAAAATCTTCTTTGGACCAACTAAATACTTTGTAGGGCGTTTTTACTTCATATGCATCTTTCTGATCGCAAATAAGTGCATGGTGTATTAATGAAAGTCTGCGCTGCATATTTCTAAACATCTTTTTGATAGCCATTTGCCTAACAACTCTAAAATCCTTCATCTTTTTCGGGAATTGATCTGATGACGCTGGAGATTTCAACATCTTTTTTCGCTATTTTCTTTCTGGCTATTTTCTTTTGCTAAAGCGCATATATTTTTAATCTTTTTTACTAATTATGTTTATCGCTAGATAGATATCTATATGTCAGTCACCCTGCCTTCAAAATTGGTTGTAAAAATATACATATAGTGAATGTTGCTTCTCGACGTCTTTCACATAAAAGGAATGAAAACTTTTATTTTCATCTTCCGAAATGTGCGATGTTTTAATGAAAGAATTGTCATCGTAAGGAAAAAAAAATTGGAACAAGTGGAAAACTGTATAAATAACAAGTAAGGAAGGGCTAAGTTCGGATGTAACCGAACATTTTATACTCTCGCAAAATCAAATGGTATACTCGTTTGAGATTTCTTTGTGGATTGACTGATATTTTCGGTAGAAGGTCAACTATAGGCACTGGGGTCCACATATTTAGTACTTAGGGGTTTGAACAGTTTTTGTTCGATTTAGACAATTTTTGGCCGCAAGGTGGCATACTTTAATTGCATTATTCACGCAAAGTTTTACCCCGATATAATCATTGTTACCTGATTTGCATAGTGGAAAGTGAAAGAATCAGATGGAATTGAAAATGGTGTTACATGGGAAGTAAGCGTGGTTGTAGTCCGATTTCGCCCATTTTCGCACTATGACATAGAAACATGAAAAGAACGTTATGCACCGAATTTGGTTGAAATCGGTTTGAGCAGATCTCAAGATATGGGTTTTCATCTAAAAGTGGGCTGTGCCACGCCCACTGTCTAATTTTGAACGCGGTTCCTATTAAGTCATCTTATACCATCTCAGAGATAAAATTTAATGTTTCTGGCGTGTTTAGTGCTGGATTTATCGCGCTTTTAGTAGTTTTTAACAGTACCGTTATATGGGGAGTGGGCGGAGTTGCCACCCGATTTCAACTATTTTCACACCGTCAATAGAAGTGCTAAAAACATTTGCTTCTAGTGAATTTTGTTATTATAGCATTAGCGGTTTAGGAGATATGCACATTAAACCTATTAGAGGCGGGACCACGCCCCCTTTAAAAAAAAGTTTTAACTGCAGATACCCCTCCCTAATGTGATCCTGTGTACCAAATAACAGTCTTGTATCTTATTGCGGAGCTTAGTTATGGCAAGTTATTTGTTTTTGATTAATGGCATCTGCAATACCAACCGTCTCACGGTACCAAGAAACATGTCTACCAAGTTTCATAAAGATATCTCAATTTTTACTCAAGTTAGAGCTTGGACAGACGGACAGACGGACGGACGGACGGACGGACGGACAGACAGTCACCCGGATTTCAACTCGTCTCTTCATCCTGATCATTTATATATATATAATCCTATATCTAACTCGATTAGTTTTAGGTGATACAAACAACCGTTAGGTGAACAAAACTATTATACTCTGTAGCAACAGGTTGCGAGAGTATAAAAACTTATTCAGATAGTGGTAGCATAACCTGTGCGTTGATTCTCCGAAGGATATCTGTTGAATTAAGCCCGATCGAGTAAATAAATTAAAATAATGTTTTTTAGCCCAAAAAATTCAAACCAAGTGCTTCTATGGAAAGCTTTTTCATTTGACAACGTATCCTCACGAAATTTGATTATAAAATCGTTCAAATAGGATCACTATAACATACATATAGCTGCCATACAAAATTACCGATCAAAATCAAGTTATTGTATAAAATATTTTGCATTTGCGAAGGGTATTATAGGTTCGGTGCGGTCGTAGTTAACTTTTTTTCTTTTTTATATTTCAAAATATGTAAATATATATCTTATTTCCACAGATCTTAATGAAGGTGTAGTATGATGTGGAAGAAACTTGTCCTAGCTTTTTTATTCTGAATATACTAATTTCTGTGAAATCACAGAAGGGACTTTGTCTCTACATTTTAAAGGAGTGGAGACGATGAGAACATGAAAGATAGTACGCCGTATATCTGTTGAGGAACAAATTGACCAAAGTAGTCACATATGTATGTGTATGCAATATACAGTACCGCTCAAAAATGACAATGACTTGAAAATATTTTTCTGCTGCTCTAAAAATATCTTTCAGTTTTTCAAATGAATATCGGTTTTCAGTTACGGTGTTCGCGAATTCTCTTATCAAAACAAAATTAAAAAAATTCACAAAACACAAGCATACTTGTTAAAAAATATATATCTCGATAAATGTATTTTACTAGCAACAAGTACAATTTACACACCGCATAGCCGTGATATGCCGGAGAAGTAAGTAATCGTTTAACTTTACTTTGTTTGTTTGAACTTGGCCCTATTTGAGGCACGCGATAATCGGGAGGATTGCGAAGCAACCGATGCGTGCGACCGTTTAGGTTTTGTACGTTTCACTCCCTCAATCGGTTCACTACTTGTCACGATTTCTCGAACTTTCATATTCATGTACTCCATTTCTCCCATCAGAAACTCTTTTTGCATCTTCATATTATCCAAACCAGCCTTGAGTTTTATGTTTTTATCTAGTAGCTCACTTATGCGGCGATCATATTCCATGGTCATGGTTTCGATGCGAGTTTTATAGTCCTGAAAAGATATACAAATTAATTGCATATGAAACATATAATTTTGGTGTAACTGAGAGCTGGCAGCACTGTAGGCATCAATTACTGTGCTGACAATGGTGACGCCTACAAATATGCAACGCTGCCGACTTCCAAGTTCTTCAACATT